TAATTTAATATTTTATAAAGCAGATCCAAATTAGTTAATTTAAAAAATCGTGAATTGTTATAGCTAACTTACTGTAACATATATCTAGGAAACTATGTATAAGTTACAAAATCATTGAATTTAAATGAAATTAATTAATAATAGAGCATAATGTCAAATATCAAGAGACACTATAGGAAAAGGTTGAATATAAATGTAATGTAAAAAAAGAAAATTATAAGAAAAAGACAAAACACAGTCTTGATTTTCATTAAGTCACAGTTATCTATTAGGAAAAGATTTTTGTTTGTCTTTTTTGAAAAGTATTATTGTTGTTATCTTTATAACCATTATTATTATCACTTATCATTGTTATCAATATCATTTCGATGGTCATAGTAATAAATATTATTGTTATTATTATCATCATCATTCTCATCATCATCAACATCAACAGTCATCATTGTTTCTATTATTACCATCATCATCATCATCATTATTACTTACTATTATTATCATTATTTCTATAATTGATAGGATAATAATATTGTTATTATTAACTTTGTTTATTATATTATCATTATCAGTGTCATTATTATTATTATTTATAGCGTTGTTTCGATAATACTGTTGTTATTATTAGTTTTTCTTATTTTATTATCATTATCAATGTCATTATTATTAACATTATTACTATTACTGTTACTTTCATTATCATTATCAGTTCTTTATCCTCATCACTTCCTCTTTTTCTCCTTTATCTTCCCTCACAATGCCCTGTAAGTGTAAGGTGTCACTCATTTAGTTTTATTAGAGAGAAACGGTGTTTGAGACCGAAATAAAAACAAAGACAGACAGACATGAGCCAGACAGTCACCGTGGCAGACATTTAGAGCGACGGGTGGAACGGACGAAGAAAAGGACGAAGAGAAAGGGGAGAAGGAAAGATTGGCGAGATTCCTGAATTGATTACATTTTGTCTTCTGTTGTGATGTTGGCAGCCGCGCGCGAGACAACTTAAATCATAATGCCAAAACACAAGTTGCAAATCCGGAATCAATATGGGCAGCTCTTGAGCAATCTCAGTCTTCGTAGTTGTCTGAGTGACTGAGTTGCAACCGGCGTTTCACGGAATTTAAGTTCGCGTTTGGGGGGAATTATGTGTTAAGCACAGTGGAGTACGAATGAACAAAATAAAATAATAGTATTTTAGCGTGTTCATCCATTTCAATATAAGAAAAAGATCCTACGGTGCAAAAACCCGTATGATGCAAAAAAAAACGACGAGTTTGAAATGGAGCTTGCAATTCGTGTTGCAATGATTCTCTTCAACTAATGGCTGATGAGAAAGGCTGGTTATCAAGGGATGTATTGTTGTCGCACTTGTGAATAATGAACACTGTGACGGGCGGTTACAGGCAGACAGACAGACAGACAGCCAGACAGAAACCAAGAGAAGGTAGAAGAAATGGGAAAGTTGTAGTTGATGAACGTGTAGGTAAGTCGATAAAAGACTGCTAAATAAGTTGATATAAATTTATCGATACGTTATGTACATTACTTCGTGAATCCAGAATATGAATATTCATAGCAAGTATATTTTCATGACTGCCATGTTTCTACCCAACAAAAATGTATATGTGTCGCGATATCACAAATCTAAAAAAAAAAAGTATTTGAGTTTAATGTAACATATTACCATTTTAATTGGATTAGCCCCGTCTGTTAGCATAATTCAATAGAAAATAGCGATTGCAAGAGGAATGATGTTTAAACCTCGTTAAGCCACACTGTAGACTGGCTTGCTTTTTCTCATAATCAGACGAGGTTTTTATAAATGTGTTTGTGTGTGTGTGTGTGTGTGTGTGTGTGTGTGTGTGTGTGTGTGTGTGTGTGTGTGTGTGTGTGTGGTGTGTGGTGTGTGTGTGTGTGTATGTGTGTGTGGTGTGTGTGTTGTGTGTGTGTGTGTGTTGTGTGTGTGTGTTGTGTGTGTGTGTGTGTGTGGTGTGTGTGTGTGTGTGTGGTGTGTGTGTGTGTGTGTGCGTGTGTGTGTGTGTGTGTGTGTGTGTGTGTGTGTGTGTGTGTGTGTGTGTACAAAATCCTCCTCCTTTTCCCCCGTCCTCGTGCGGGCGGAGCAGATAAGCCTCCTTAATTCAGTTCCTGCTCCTCCTCACTCGAACACATTCTTCGCGCTTATCAGCTACGTTCTTTCACCTTCCTTCCTACCCTCTTATTTCTCTTTCTTACCATCCTTCTTCCCATTTCCTCTTTCCTTTCTTTCTTCATTCCCTTCTCCTCCCCCCGTTCATCCTCTCTTCTCTTTACCTGCTTCCTTCCCTCTTCTTTCCTCCATCCTGTCACATTTTTCCTTTCTTCCTTCTCTCTTACTCTGTCCACCCTTCCTTCCTCGCTCCGTCCTCTACCCTCTCCCCACACCATTCTCCTCCCCGCCTCCCCCTCCCCCACCCCAATCTCCTCCCCGCCACCCCAACCCCCACTCATTCTCCTCCCCGCCCCCTCCCCCACCCCTCGCGTTGCCTTGAGGTTAAGCACCGCGCGTCTTCGAGTTGTCAGATGGACGAGGACATCGAGTCTGAGGTGTGGCAGCTGTGCTCGGTGCTCCGGGACCTCGAACTCAACAAGGAGGCCCCGCATTACTTCCCCCACTGCTCCACGGCGGCCTTCGTCCTCTACCTGGCCCTGGCGGAGTTCTCCAGGTTAGTCTTCTATTGTTGCTTTTAATTTGGTTAATTTCGGATGCTTGGTTCCGCTATTTGGGCTTGGTTAGGCTCTCTCTCTCTCTCTCTCTCTCTCTCTCTCTCTCTCTCTCTCTCTCTCTCTCTCTCTCTCTCTCTCTCTCTCTCTCTCTCTCTCTCTCTCTCTCTCTTCTCATGGCCAGGAAGTCCCTCTCCCTCCCCTTGGCTCAAGAGTCCACGTCAGTTAATCTCTGGCCTTCGCTTTGACTCCCTTCTTTGCCCTGGTCGAGTTCTCCAAGTCTTTTTCTCTCTCCCCCAACGTCTTATTCTCCAGCCAATCTCTCCACTTTGGCTCAGTTTCCAGTGCTTTCTCCCTTTCCTTCGCTCCAAGCTCCGGTCCTCCCGGCTCCTTCGTGCAGAGCTGTCTGTCTGCGCCTTTGAGCTCGGTTCCAGCGCGAATTGATTGGCAAACTCCTAAGCTACCCTGTTTGGTCCCTCAGCTCTGCTTCCAGGGCCCTTCTGTCAACATATCGTAATAAAGTCCACTTCTGTCGTTGAATTACCGAGACTTAAAACAGAATTATATTTAGCATGAATCTATGGCACCTGTTGCCGGAATTCATTTTCTCACGGAGTCCGTTTCAAATCAGAGCATGAAGTGTATTCCGACTCAGAATAACAGCGAACTATCGAATCTGTAATCAGCATCAAAGGCCGGCGTGGATTCTATGAATATTGAATTGACTCGGTAAATAATCAGTTCGAGCTCCTACAAATACATATATTATAAACACATCAAAAGAATCCACAACGCCATCGTCAGGCAGGAATGAAAAAACGTTTATCGTTTGATTTTGTTTTCCATGTAACACCCACCCACCAACACATGCGCACACATATACATACATCATGTTTATATATATATATATATATATATATATATATATATATATATATATATATATATATATATATATATATATATATATATATATATATATATATATATATGTATATATATATATATATATATATATATATATATATATATATATATATATATATATATATATATATATATATATATATATATACGTATTTGTGCATGTATGTATGTGTGTATGTATGTGTGTATGTATGCGTGTGCATATGTGTGTGTGAGAGAGAGAGAGAGAGAGAGAGAGAGAGAGAGAGAGAGAGAGAGAGAGAGAGAGAGAGAGAGAGAGAGAGAGAGAGAGAGAGAGAGAGAGACAGACAGACAGACAAACAAAAAGACACGGACACAGACAGAGATAGAGATACAGACAGAGACAGAGATACAGACAGAGACAGAGATACAGACAGACAGACTGAGAAAGACATAGAACGCCAGAGAGGGACACACATAGACAGACAGACAGACAGACAGACAAAGAGCAGGGACGCGAATAAACCTGTTGAGGAGGAGTGGTGTTCCCTCGCCATCGATTCCCGTCTGATCGAGATCTCTGGCCCCGACTTCGGCTTCCTTTATTCTTTAATCGAAATATTTCCATACGAATGCCTCCTGCGGGTTAAGGGGAATCGGGGCTGCGGCTAAATGGCTACTCCTTTCAAGTGAGGGAAAACTCGATGTGAAGAGAGCAGAGGCGAGGGGAAATCCTCTCTGACTCGGTCTGCTTGCGACTGGCCGAGTGCGATGGTCACGCGTTTCCTTGTGTAAACGGGTTTTTGTCTCTCATAGTTTGGAGACTGATAGATAGATACAGACATACATAAAACAATTTATGAATGGAGGAATTACATACACTCATTCATTCATTCATACATGCACACACACACACACACACACACACACACACACACACACACACACACACACACACACACACACACACACACACACACACACACACATACATGCACACATACATACATACATACATACATACATACATACATACATACATACATACATACATACATACATACATACATACATACATACATACGTACGTACATACATACATATATTCATACATACATACATTCATATACAA